CCCATTCTATGTTAAAACTGCACTGGTTAACACATTTATTGCTGTAGACATTTCCCTTTTTTCTGTGTGCTAGGAACCCGGAAAAATTTCCGGTTTACAGTTAGCCTTGTACCTTATTGTCTTTGGATGTGGCACCAGACTTTGTTTCTTCTTTATGTATCACACTTTACTCGCAGTCATTTATACAATTATACCATTTTATGAAGTGGGAAAGAATGACCAAACAAATGAAGTTCATAATAGTTTTAAACTCGTAATTTCATCATTAAATTTAGATTTAGCTTGTAAGTAAAATAGTACTAACTTAAGAGTTAAGATGATGCTAGAAGGAATCAGGGCAGGAGCAGCCCGGTGCACGTTGTTGTCCCTACAAGGCGAGGGTTTGGGGAAGGGTCCCATCACAAGAGTGTATAAGGAGCAAGCCTTTCCAGCTTTCTTATTCATTTTTTTATAAAAGACCGCTCTCAAGACTTGAACCCATGACCTCCCCGGTCACCAAACAACACCGTAACTGGTGCGCCAATCCCCCCCTTTTTAGGCTAAACAAATTAAACAGGAATATTCAATTATTACACAAACCAAAACAATCTTTAAAGAAAAATGTTGAGTTTGAAAATGCAAAACCACCAATAATCATGTCAAGATGGAATCCATTTCAACGCATAACGTGGTCCAATCATTCAACATTTCTTTTGACACAAGTATTTCAAATAGGTTTTCAATAGTCATGTTGTCATAAATAGGTTTTTAAATAGGTTTTCAACTTAATTTAAAAAAGGTCCCGTGAACCTTAGGTTATTACATTGTACTCCCTATAATGACTAAAATATCCCAAAATAATGAAGGAACAAGTTTCTATCCCTCTTTTTCAACGTGACTCATAAATCACTACTCTCCAGTTTTTCAACATAACTATATATGTACTTTTTTTTAAATATGAAACCATAAGTGTAGTTTGAGTGAAAAGGTAAATTTTAATATAATAATATATTTCAGTGTCTTGCCTGTCTTCTCTTTTCGGCATCGATATCATGGATCGATTCATCTTAGCCGACCCCAAATTCTTTTGGGATTAAGGCTTGGATGTTGTTGTTGTTGTAATATACTTGAGTGACACACAGGAACAACAGTACACCCAAAAAAACACTTTCCATGTCTCAGAGCCACTGCTGCCAATAATGGTTTATCTATTTGTAAATGCAGGTATGTGAAGCATTACCAGGAAACTGAGAAGTTATCTCACAGATACTGAACGGTTGAGGATGGGAACTAGGAGCTTATATGTCCTGCAAAATCCCCCCTTTTATGTTTTTGGAATTTTACCTGAAAATAATCTGTTGGTACGATGGTTTCAATGTGTTTCCCTCCTATATGTGGGCATAATGTGCTCGTTAATTTTCCCCCAACTGAAAATAAGCTGAATACATTTCTTGTTTGTGCTGGTTATTTATTGGTACTACACTGATTTTTTTGCCGTCTTACTTCAAGGTTAATTTTGAAACTGATGTGTTAATAACCTGTGAATTATTTTGGGATCCGTAATTTGGTAGAAATAACGTTTCTATGTTCTAGAGTTTAAATTGAAAACACATAGTTGTTAGGATATTGGATCAACTGAATAGCTAGGCCGACACAATACCACAGTTAAATTGAAAATACATAGTTGTTAGGATATTGGATCAACTGAATAGCTAGGCCGACACAATACCACAGAAAGCCATCCCAGTTAGGGGTGGACCGATTCCGGGCCGGGCCCGGTTCGGGCCTTGAACCGGCCGGGCCTTGGTTCAAGGTAGAGGAGGCCCGGGTAACCCCGGGTCTGGTTCGGGCCGGGATGGGCTGGGCCCGGTTCGGTTCTATATAATTTTTTTTTTGGGTTTTCCTAATCAACCCCCTACCCTCCCCCTCAACCCCAAATCACCTCAAATGGCCCAAAATACCCAATCCAACCCAAAAACTTAAAAAAAATTCAAAAAAAAAAAATTAAATCCGGCCCGGACCGGGCCCGTACCGGCCGGGCCGGTTCACCAAAATGAAGGCCCGAGCCCGGAACCGGTAGCCACCGGGCTGGGTCGACCCGAACCGCCCATGGGCCGGGCCGCCGGGCCGGGCCGGTTCAAACAGTGACCGGGCCGGGCCGGTTCCGGCCGCCCGGCCCGAGTCCAACCCTAATCCCAGTGCAGTTCCAAGCCACAATGAGATACTTTCTGCCGCTGGTAGCTGCTTGTAAGGAGTATTTATCTACGGTTACTAACTGTAGAAATTATATTTTGTGGCAATCGATTATTTTACGAAATAATTGGGTCCGAGGCAGTTGCCAGGATCACGGAACTCTAATGCTAGTGTTTCGTTTGAAAGGATACCCTGAGCTGGTCATAATTTACACAAAGATGAGCAGCCTGCAGCTCATTGGTATGGCTTCGAGGAATTCCTAAGCCAGATGGGCGTTCAACACTCATAAGTGCTCGTAGCTTACCCACAGGCCAACAGACGGGTGAAGACTGAAGAATATGAACCGGACGGAGGACGACCATGGATGACAAGTGTGAATATTTTAAATCATAAAGAAATATCCAATCATCTTGTTATTTTATGAATTAATATTAAAAAGGTAATATACATATTGTGTATTTTTTTTAAATGTAATGATTACTCCGTATAAGATTTTTGAAATACTATAAATCATTATGTCTTTCATGACCATTAAATAATTCCGAATCTTAAAGTTTAGATTTTTAATGCAATAAGGAGGTATTTCATTATATATAGAAGTAATAGAACACTTGGGGTGCTTCTTTACTATTTTAAAATACTCCATATTAAAGAAGCTCTCAGGATGTTTTTACTTGAACTGTAATTCATCCCAGACCAGACCAAACTTGGGTAGTTAAAAAAATACAAAGAAACCAGACCAGATCAGTTCAGACCAGTCCAGACCAGATCAGACCAGACCAGACCACCAAATTACAGTCCAAATAAAAACATCCTCAAAGTACCGAAAGTGTGAAATATGATCAGGCTCGGGCCTGGCTCCGGGTCTTGAATATTCAGGCTCGGTATCGGCCCGGGTTTGTATTGCGACCGACTCGGGCATCATTTTTTCTTTTAGTTTTTTGGTCTTTTCCAACCCCCACCCCAAACCCCCCAAACCACCTAACCCGACCCACCTAGAGGCCAGCCCGTTAAGAAAAAAGAAAAAAGAAAAATTATTGGGCTCGAACCGGGCCGGGCCCGCATAGTAACGGGCAAGGCTGGGTCCTAGGTCAGGCCAAACCGGCTTAGTCCACGGTCCACCCCTACTGGATACTATGTTTATTACTCACTCTGGGCTCTATCCCATAAAGCTTTGTCAAATTGATTTTTTTGATGAATATTTAGGCCCGATATTGGCCCGGGTTTGTATCGGGACCGGCCCAGGCATCATTTTTTTTTTAGTTTTTTGGTCTCTTCCAACCTCCCCCCCAAACCCCCCAAACTGCCTAGCCGCACCCACCTAGAGGCCAGTCCGTTAAAAAAAATTAAAAAAAGTAAAATTATTGGGCTCGAAGCGGGCCGGGCCCGCGCAGTAACGGGCCAGGCCGGGTCCTGGGTCGGGCCAAACCGGCCCAATCCACCCCTACTGGATACTATGTTTATTACTCACTATGGGCTCTGTCCCATAAAGCTTGGTCAAATTGATTTTTTTGATGAATGATATTACCTTCGTCCCACAGTGGCGGAGATAGAGCATTACGTTGGACTGGATCGGTACAAATAATATTTTAAGAAAATAATTTAGACATAACTTTTTATCTGAAAGTTGTTTAGGGCCTAGGTTGGCCCCCTCTAGTTCCGCCTATGCTACCCCACTAATATTGAGATGTGAAGAGTTAGTGTGGTTACTAAGAAAAGTGGGTTATTACGGTTGATATTGAAATGATAAAGTAAGTATACAGTAAGAATGATATAAATCACACAAATTTAGAGTTTTTCCCGGATTAATGCTAATTACATACATAATTTCTGAAATATCGTTGGGTTAAAAATAATTCTCAAATTATTGTTGGCTAAACCGTGGTTAAGGAATGCCGGCACTTCAAGTGACGGTTCTATAAGCCGCGACTTCAACTGGCGGCTCATTAACGAAATACAACCTCCTTCGTTCCAAACGACGAGAGACAAAACCCACACCTAACTCACCCTTGCGACTGCTGCGGAAAAACAACGACAACTTCCCTTCGTCTCGGCTGGAAATTGTCCTAAAGAGCTGTGAAATCAAGTAGAAAAGGGACACGGTGTACCCGAGGTCACTTGTGCTCCGTTCTCTCAACCTTCAACCGTTTGAATTGAGGTATTTCACCATTTTGGCTAAAGCTAGTTTTTTTTTTGGAATTGCCATTTTTTGGATATTTGCGTTACATTTGATGTGATGAAATATATAAGTTGTTAATGTTGTTAGTATGCTTGAATTTAATAATTTGTGGGATTTGAATTATTTATTGTGTTGGTTGGATTGAGTTTGATATATGGTTTTGTTTGAGAAAGTGTAATGTAACACGTTATTAATATGTATTTATCTGATTATTTATATGAATGAAACCATAAAAACTAGATATATGATTTAATTCAATTCGTTTGAATGAAAGAAATTGTAGTTGAATTTTTAATGTGCGACATAAGTCATAGTTTTTTTTAATGAATTTTTGATAGAATATGAACGCTCCAAACTTTCCCATTGTTTGTCACTGGGGAGGAAATATTATCGAGAAATCAAACGAAATTTATTATGAAGGGCAAAGACAGAGGATAATTGTTGTTTCCCGCGGATGGGAGGAGCCAGATGCAAGACACAAGCTTTGCATTCAGCATGTCCTTCTAATCTTCACACTCAATTTAAAGACATTCACTTGAAGAATCTCTTCGTTTGGACAACAAGTCAATATCAAAAGAATAAATTTGACAACGACTTTAACATGATAGGCGAAATGCAAGCACAAGCACACGAATATCTAGGGAAGCACACGACAGTTTGGGTTTCACCGGGTTATTCCCGCACCTTGTGATACTTTTATAGACGTACACAAGATCGACAGACGAGGGAAGCACACCGAAAATTGAAGGATGCATCGCATTCAGTACATCACCATGTGAGATGAGAAAGCGTCGTATATAGTGCACGAGACCCCATCAATTGTCCTCTCAATATCTGCAGATTACATCATCACATGAGTGTTCACCTCTCCTAGTTTTCATCTACCCACCGATCATTATCAGCCTAGCTCAGTCGCTCTTCATATAACGACACATAATACATTCACTAAAATCACTTTATTCATTTATTCATTCATGTGTTTGTCACTAATAATCGTGCTTGCATTACCGGCTTTGCATACCATCCATGACAGAACGACTGCAGTACTTGATGAGGCGGTAGATGTACAGAGATATCATGAGGTATGCTTAGACATTGTTGCATTGTGTGCTGATTTAATGGGCCGAATAGACTATGGATATATGGCTGCCTCTCAGTATTCCACGACATCTACATCTAAAGTAGGGTCTTCTCAGGCACCACGAAGTGATAGAATGGCTCTTCAACCTCGTAGCCAGCGAAAACGCCCCCGACCATAGTTACAGAGACAACCGCATTCACATGAGCTTTACGATGATGATCACGTTGACTTATGACATTTGTAGTTTACTGTCACGCCCCGGACCTAACCGGACACGTCAACAATCCGCCGTACAGTACGAATAGTCAACCGCAGTCCAACACATCCATACTATACAAGGCGTCTGGAATATCATTCACACATAGTACATCCATAAACAACATAATGTAAAATATTCTTTCATAGCAGCGGAAACATTCAATACGAGTATTCATGCCACACCTTGGCAAACATGGGCATACAAGCCCCCAAGTAAATATTTAAAAATATTATCCATGAGCATTATTTAAAATGTTTTAAAAACAGGAACGGAAGAAGCACGAACCACGTCTCCCTTCTTGATCTTCCTGAAGCAACGGGCGGCGGTAGCAATCCTTCAAGTTCTACCTGAAACTGTGAGGTGGCCTCCCCCGTGAAGGGGAGGTCAGTACTTGGAAGCATTTGACAAGTACAATGACAACTATACTAAGTATAATCAAAGTTTCAATTTCCAAGACCCCAAATCTAGGGTGCTATTATTTATATTAAATTCACATTCCTTCATGCTAGAGCTCGGCTCATAGTCATCCTAATTTGTGCTAGAGCTCGGCTCATAGTCACGCTACATTTTGCTAGAGCTCGGCTCATAGTCATACTAGTTTGTGCTAGAGCTCGGCTCATAGTCACACTACATCTTGCTAGAGCTCGGCTCATAGTCATACTACATTTTGCTAGAGCTCGGCTCATAGTCATACTACCACGTGCTAGAGCTCGGCTCATAGTCACGTCATCTAATCCCTAAACCACTTCTTAGTCTAGGTTCCATCCATTTTGAGTAACCCTTAAGGCCCACTCCTAATGTAACTTGACTTCATAAAGTCCACCTTAAAAATATCCTTTAAGGTTATTTAACTCTAATATCTTGGGATTAGCTTCCAAGAACTATTGAGCTTACATTCCCGACTAGTATTCCTATACTAGTTGTTTAATCTTAATAAACCAATGAAATTTCATAATAATTCGTATATTTCAACTAAATTTCACATTCAAGTATAATTTGGCTTTAATATCAAAATATCACTTTTATCCTTCCATGACTTCCTTACATGAGGTAAAAGTATATTTATCACAATTTAATTTATAGTTTACACACTATTATACCGTTGTATTCATAACACATAATCACACACAATTTATTCATAAATTTGTACATTATGCATTTTTGCTTATAATCGATAATAATCTCATTTAGGCATTTTTCTATTATAAATAAATCATGCCAAACACATATAATTCATTTAGGAAATCTTATGAAATTAACCCAATAATTATAAGCAATATAGTCGGTCATCCTCACCTTAAGTGAGCTTAAACGCGATCTACGCTCCCCCGGTTGAACTTTGACTAATTTCCGGTGAACTTTGACCAACTCCGGCGAACGTTGACCAATTCCGGCGAAACTCCGGCGAAGCTCAAAAATACTTTAATCAAGTTCCTAACAAGGTTTTAACATCATAAAACCTTAATCAATACAAATAACCTATAAAAGGTTATTTTCCGGTGAACTTGTCGGTTTGGCCCCTAAATCCGTTTTTGGACATAGGACCACCTTCCAACCCATCATTCTACACTTAAGCCATGTAGAACAATCCTCAAGGTTCTTCATATGATATATATCTCATATGGTAGAAGAAAAGTAAAGGAAAAACTAATATAAGGTTATTACCTTAATCCTTCACACTTTTTCCCAACTTTTCCCTTCTTAAAAACCCCTTCTTTGGACTCCTTAAGCTTGAGTTCAGTTCTTGGCTATGGAGGATGAGGTTGCAAGAGCTATCCTTCTCTCTTGGGTCTCCTTGGCCGAAATAATGGGAGAGGGTGAGTGAGGGGATAGCCTATTTGGCTTTTCTCTCAAAATAATGTGTAAATGGACCCCCTCATGGTACCTTGATAGCTTCCTCCCACCTCCCTCTTGTCTCACAGCTCAAGTGTGGCACAAATCAGCCCCCTTTGGTTGCCAAATTCGTGGGTTGGCCCCCACCCATGTGGGAGGTCAACCCTTTTTGTCCAGAAGTGTACAATTGGTCCCGAAAGTTGTATTTTTCGGACTGTTTTAATTATATTTTATTTTATCGGGTCAGATAAAATATATTATGTGTTATCCATCATTATGACCCTCATAATGAATATTCATTCCCCAACTTTAATTTATAAGTCCCCGAAATTCAATTTCGGGCTTTTATCGGCTAAATTGTCAATACCGGTATTTGGGCCTCTTTTGACCAATCGGTCAACTCTGGACCTTCCCATGGCTCAAATGAGATATCCACCACCATATAAATATTACCTAGACCAAGATGAATAAAATATGTGGTCCCGGAAATATCGGGCGGCCCCCGCTCCCGGTGTGGGCCCCACGTGCGAATTTACTACACACGCAAAAACATTAATAAAAATTCACAACTTCGAATACTCGTTAGCCATTCCATAAGTTTAATACATTATTCACTTAAAAGTAAATACTTTTTGGGGACGGTGTTACAAGTTCACCCCCCTTAATTGGGATTTCGTCCCCGAAATCCACGTGTCTAATCGAAAAGAAACGGGTATTGCTCCCTCATTGAGACCTCAGTCTCCCAGGTTTCTTCTTCGACTCGATCACTCCTCCAAAGAACCTTTACCATAGGAATCTCCTTGTTCCTCAGTTTCTTCACCTGTTGACCCACAATCTTTACCGGTTCTACCGCATATTGTAGATCTTCACGTATCTCCACCGGTGGCTTCTCAAGAATATGAGATGGATCTCTCACGTATTTCTTGAGCATCGATACATGAAACACGTCGTGTATCTTCTCAAGTTCCGGCGTCAACTTGAGACGGTATGCCACAGCCCCTATCCTTTCAAGGATTTCAAATGGGCCAATGTATCTGGGGTTAAGCTTTCCCCTCGATATAAATCGGATGATACCCTTCCAAGGAGAAATCCTTAGGAAGACCTTATCGCCGACCTCAAACTCCAATGGCCTTCGTCGTTTGTCGGCATAACTCTTCTGCCGATCTTGAGCAGCCTTGAGTCTATCTTGAATAACTTTCACCTTAGCCTTGGTGATTTCAAGAAGTTCGACCCCCTCGAGCTTGGCCTCGCCAACCTCGTCCCAACACAACGGTGTTCTGCATTTCCTCCCATACAATGCCTCGTATGGAGGCATGCCAATACTTGCCTGATAACTGTTGTTATAGGCAAACTCGACTAGAGCCAAATGCTTGTCCCAACTTCCTTGGAACTCCAGAGCACATGCCCTAAGCATGTCCTCCAGAATCTGTATCACCCTCTCAGATTGTCCATCCGTCTGTGGATGAAAAGCTGTGCTAAACTTCAGTTTCGTTCCCAAAGATGCTTGAAACTTTGGCCAAAATCGGGATGTGAAACGTGGGTCCCTATCCGAGACAATGGATATGGGAACTCCATGAAGTCTCACAATCTCCTCCGTGTATAGCTTTGCCAATCTTTCAAGAGGATAGGTAATGTTGATAGGCAAAAAGTGTGCACTCTTAGTGAGCCTATCCACCACTACCCATACTGCATCGTAGTTGTTCAATGTTCGTGGTAGCCCCACCACGAAGTCCATGGTAACATGCTCCCACTTCCATTCTGGAATGGTCAGTGGCTGCAAAAGCCCCGCCGGGTGTTGATGCTCTGCCTTAACTTGTTGGCAAGTAAGGCATCGACTCACGTACTCTGCGATGTCTCTCTTCATACCCGACCACCAGTAACTTTCCTTCAAGTCTCGGTACATTTTAGTACCTCCTGGATGCATAGCATATGCCGAAGAATGAGCCTCCTCTAGTATGGACTTTTGGAGCTCCTCACTCTTTGGTATGCATACACGGTCTTTAAACAGTAAAAGACTGTCATCACGTACCCGAAAGTTCTCCACGGGCCCCTCAAGGATCCTTTCACGGATCTTCTGACATTCTTCATCAGTGGCCTGACATCTACTGATCTCACTCAGCAATGTAGGCCTAACCTCGAATCTAGCAATGAGGGCCCCACTCGTGGACACCTCCACTTGTGCCCTCAAGGTTCGTAGACATGTGAGTAATGTCCCCGACGTACTCTTCCTGCTCAGTGCATCGGCCACTACATTGGCCTTTCCGGGATGATAGTCGATGATCAAGTCATAGTCCTTGATCAACTCCATCCATCTCCTTTGCCTCATATTCAACTCTTTCTGAGTGAATACATACTTCAGACTCTTATGATCGGTAAAAATGTGACATGTCTCCCCATAGAGGTAATGCCTCCAAATCTTTAGTGCGAACACTACCGCCCCCAACTCCAGATCGTGGGTAGGGTAGTTCGCCTCGTGTTTCTTCAATTGCCTAGAAGCATAGGCAATCACCCGACCGTTTTGCATTAGCACACATCCAAGCCCTTGGATGCTAGCATCACTGTATATGTCATACCCTATCCCTTGTGTGGGTAGAGCGAGAACCGGTGCTTCTGTAAGCCGTCCCTTTAGTTCGAGGAAACCTTTCTCACAATTGTCGTCCCATATGAACTTGGCCCCTTTCTTTGTGAGCTTTGTCAATGGAGACGCCAATACGGAAAATTTCTCAACAAACTTACGATAGTACCCCGCTAGGCCAAGGAAACTACGTATCTCTTTCACGTTTTTGGGTCTCTCCCAATTCATAATGGCTTCTATCTTGGCCTTATCCACTGCAATGCCCGAACCCGACACGACATGCCCGAGAAACCCAATCTCTTTGAGCCAAAACTCGCATTTCGAGAACTTTGCAAAGAGTTGTTTTTCCCTTAGCCGTTCAAGTACAAGTCTCAAATGGTCTTCGTGCTCCTCCTCACTTTTGGAGTATACTAGGATGTCGTCAATGAATACTATCACAAATTGATCTAAGTATTCACTAAACACACGGTTCATCATGTCCATGAACGCCGCCGGTGCATTGGTTAGACCAAATGACATCACCAAAAACTCGTAGTGACCATATCTAGTGCGAAATGCACTCTTAGGTATGTCACTCTCCTTTATCTTCAACTGATGATACCCCGACCTCAGATCAATCTTCGAAAATACTGTCGCCCCTCGAAGTTGATCAAACAAGTCATCAATTCTCGGTAAAGGATACCTGTTCTTGATCGTGACCTTGTTCAACTGTCGGTAATCTATACACATTCTTAATGTGCCATCTTTCTTCTTAACGAAGAGTACGAGTGCTCCCCATGGTGAATGACTGGGCCTAATGAACCCGTTGTCCAATAGCTCCTGAAGTTGAACCTTCAACTCTTGAAGCTCGGCCGGTGCCATTCGATAAGGAGGAATCGAAATGGGCTTGGTTCCCGGCTCCACTTCAATCACAAATTTGATCTCCCTGTCGGGTGGAAGCCCCGGCAAGTCTTTGGGAAAGACATCCGGATAATTGCACACGACGCGTACATCGTTGATGTCAACCTCCTTCTTTGCCTCATCCACCACATAAGCAAGGTATGCATGGCATCCCTTCTTCATCATCTTCCGTGCCCTCATCACGGATATTATACAACTATGAGATCCTACCCGATCTCCCTCGAAACGTAGGGTGTTTCCCTCGGCATCCTCGAGTTCCAAAACCTTGGTATAACAATCCACTCGAGCATGATGTTTCTCGAGCCAATCCATCCCTAGAATTGCATCGAATTCTAACATGCTTAGAGGTACGAAGTCACAAGTCAAAGGTTGACCCGTCACTTCTACCTCACACAAAGGGTAGTAGTGTCTCCTCTCCACATCGTCTCCCAACGGTGTAGAGACCAACAAAGGTTGTGTCATTTCTATCAACGGCACGTCTAAACTTTCGGCAAACGCTTCACTCACGAATGAACGTTGTGCCCCGGTATCAATGAGAATTCTCGCGTTTCTACCATTGATCTTTAATGTTCCTACATATATAAGTCATGTAAGACACACTAGTCAACGTACCGGATCGAAACGGGGCTTAACGAAAATTTTTCGGGTAAAAATGCACTGGACCGGCGCCGGGTATGGACCTGGCCGGCGCCGGGTAAGCTACTGGAATCGGGAAAAGTGAAAAAATTCACCGGACCGGCGCCGGGTATGTCCCGGACCGGCGCCGGGTATCCCCTGGAGCGAAAACCGGAAAATTTCCCCCCGGACCGGCGCCGGGTTGCCCCCCTGGCCGGCGCCGGGTAAGCCACTGGATAGCACATCCGGAAAAATTTTTCCGGGCCGGCGCCGGGTTGCCCTCCTGGCCGGCGCCGGGTAAGCTACTGCCAGCTTCGTTTTGGCTACGTTTTACGCTAGGCCGGCGCCGGTTCAAGCCCGGGCCGGCGCCGGTTCGTCCCTGGGCGTGTTTAACTCATCTTTTCCGCTAAAAACGAGCTGAAACGTCACCGGTTGACCCGCACATGCTCCCTAAAGCTTATAATACACATGTATATGAATAATACAAGAGTGAACAAGGGGTTACCTGCAACGGAGTCGGGGTTGGCCCGAGCATCGGCCTCGGTCATTGCGTAGACTCTAGCTTGAGTCCTTCCTTGGTTCACGGACGGCGCGTTGCTTGTGCTCGCTCCCCCTTGCCCCGTACTAGCATGGGGTGCTCCGGTTCGGTTCCGACTTGCCGTGGTAGCGCCGCTTGATCCCACCCCTCGGTTCCCACCAAGTTGAGGGCAATTTGGTTTAATATGCCCCGTCTCTCCACATTGGTAGCACCGAGGAGGGTCTCGACACTTACCCCCGTGGCTCCTATTGCAATTTCTGCACCTGGGCGCCGTTGAGGCTTGTGAGCCCGAGTTGTGCCCGCTGAAGGCCGGGTTTCCCTTGGATGGTGGTGCCGGTGCCCTAAATGATCCTCCTCCCCCATGGTTCCCCTTCTTATTAGAACCTTGGGGGCCATGGCCTTCCCATTTTCTCTTCTTCGCCTCCTCGGCGTCCCTCTTCTTCCTCTCCTCCCATTGCTTTTCTCCCTTCAACCCTTGAGCAACCACTTGGCTGAAAGTCATATTGGGCAATTGAGTCGCCCTATCACGTATCTCCAGGTCCAAGGCCTCCCAAAAGTGATTCACCATTCGGTTTTCATCACAAGCATACTCCGGTATGTGGTCGGCAAGGTCCCTGAACTTGTGCTCAAGTTCTTTCACCGTCATGTTACCCCCTTGGGTCAAAAGAGTGTATTCCCTCACTTTGGCGTTCACCTCAAAGTCGGAGTAGTATTGTGCAAAGAATTCTTGCCGAAAATCCTCCCAAGTCACATTTCCGCCATACTTACCCTTGGTTCCATCCCACCACTTGGATGCCAACCCTTCAAGTAACCTCACCGCGATTCTCAACTTGAAATCGGGGGTGAGTTGCATGTCAAGGGCTGCCTCGTTCAGCCTCTTGATCCACTGCGCGGCCACCGAGATGTCTCCCGTTCCATCGAACGGTTTGCACCCCAAATCCCTCGCCTCCTTGATGTATTTGGAGATCCTTATGGTTGGACCTCCATCACCTCGACTCCCATGCGCTTCCACATGGGTTCTTGAATCACAGTAGCTCCTTCCTCTTGGAGCCCCACCCGAAGGTTGCCCTGCACGGCGCCTTCGGCGTTCCCTTCTTTCTTCGCGCTCCCGATGGTATTGTTGGAGTAGCGCTTCAATTCTCGCCAAGGAGCCATTTTCCTCCTCGTCGCTCACGTCATCATCATCCCCTTCATAAGGGGTCTCAACCGGCTCAGTTTCCGGCCGGTAGGTTGAGTCCTCATAAGACCAATAGGTCTCACTCTCCGTGTCAACGTGGCCATCGCTCACGGTTTGATGTTGGCCTCCACGGCCCCTTCCTCTTGATCCCCTAGTGGACCCCCGGCTACCGCGCTCGGATCCACCCAGTACACGGCCCGTCGGGTTCCTCCTAGTGATCCTTCCGATTGGCTCCATTTCTGAAAGGAAGTAGAATGAGTCATTAGACTCGTATCCATGTCAAGTGACGGATAGGTACTTAAAGACATCCTTTGGCTCAAATCACCGCCATACCAATTGTTAAGGGTACCATCTTAACAATTAGAGACTTTGCAACCCAAGTACCAAAAGTTCTTTAAGTACAAAACTTTTATGCTCATGGTTTTCAAATTCATTTTCGAAAAGAGATTTTGAAGCTTCATTATGAAGTTTACGGACTAGGGCTCTGATACCAATTAAATTGTCACGCCCCGGACCTAACCGGACACGTCAACAATCCGCCGTACAGTACGAATAGTCAACCGCAGTCCAACACATCCATACTATACAAGGCGTCTGGAATATCATTCACACATAGTACATCCATAAACAACATAATGTAAAATATTCTTTCATAGCAGCGGAAACATTCAATACGAGTATTCATGCCACACCTTGGCAAACATGGGCATACAAGCCCCCAAGTAAATATTTAAAAATATTATCCATGAGCATTATTTAAAATGTTTTAAAAACAGGAACGGAAGAAGCACGAACCACGTCTCCCTTCTTGATCTTCCCGAAGCAACGGGCGGCGGTAGCAATCCTTCAAGTTCTACCTGAAACTGTGAGGTGGCCTCCCCCGTGAAGGGGAGGTCAGTACTTGGAAGCATTTGACAAGTACAATGACAACTATACTAAGTATAATCAAAGTTTCAATTTCCAAGACCCCAAATCTAGGGTGCTATTATTTATATTAAATTCACATTCCTTCATGCTAGAGCTCGGCTCATAGTCATCCTAATTTGTGCTAGAGCTCGGCTCATAGTCACGCTACATTTTGCTAGAGCTCGGCTCATAGTCATACTAGTTTGTGCTAGAGCTCGGCTCATAGTCACACTACATCTTGCTAGAGCTCGGCTCATAGTCATACTACATTTTGCTAGAGCTCGGCTCATAGTCATACTACCACGTGCTAGAGCTCGGCTCATAGTCACGTCATCTAATCCCTAAACCACTTCTTAGTCTAGGTTCCATCCATTTTGAGTAACCCTTAAGGCCCACTCCTAATGTAACTTGACTTCATAAAGTCCACCTTAAAAATATCCTTTAAGGTTATTTAACTCTAATATCTTGGGATTAGCTTCCAAGAACTATTGAGCTTACATTCCCGACTAGTATTCCTATACTAGTTGTTTAATCTTAATAAACCAATGAAATTTCATAATAATTCGTATATTTCAACTAAATTTCACATTCAAGTATAATTTGGCTTTAATATCAAAATATCACTTTTATCCTTCCATGACTTCCTTACATGAGGTAAAAGTATATTTATCACAATTTAATTTATAGTTTACACACTATTATACCGTTGTATTCATAACACATAATCATACACAATTTATTCATAAATTTGTACATTATGCATTTTTGCTTATAATCGATAATAATCTCATTTAGGCATTTTTCTATTATAAATAAATCATGCCAAACACATATAATTCATTTAGGAAATCTTATGAAATTAACCCAATAATTATAAGCAATATAGTCGGTCATCCTCACCTTAAGTGAGCTTAAACGCGATCTACGCTCCCCCGGTTGAACTTTGACTAATTTCCGGTGAACTTTGACCAACTCCGGCGAACGTTGACCAATTCCGGCGAAACTCCGGCGAAGCTCAAAAATACTTTAATCAAGTTCCTAACAAGGTTTTAACATCATAAAACCTTAATCAATACAAATAACCTATAAAAGGTTATTTTCCGGTGAACTTGTCGGTTTGGCCCCTAAATCCGTTTTTGGACATAGGACCACCTTCCAACCCATCATTCTACACTTAAGCCATGTAGAACAATCCTCAAGGTTCTTCATATGATATATATCTCATATGGTAGAAGAAAAGTAAAGGAAAAACTAATATAAGGTTATTACCTTAATCCTTCACACTTTTTCCCAACTTTTCCCTTCTTAAAAACCCCTTCTTTGGACTCCTTAAGCTTGAGTTCAGTTCTTGGCTATGGAGGATGAGGTTGCAAGAGCTATCCTTCTCTCTTGGGTCTCCTTGGCCGAAATAATGGGAGAGGGTGAGTGAGGGGATAGCCTATTTGGCTTTTCTCTCAAAATAATGTGTAAATGGACCCCCTCATGGTACCTTGATAGCTTCCTCCCACCTCCCTCTTGTCTCACAGCTCAAGTGTGGCACAAATCAGCCCCCTTTGGTTGCCAAATTCGTGGGTTGGCCCCCACCCATGTGGGAGGTCAACCCTTTTTGTCCAGAAGTGTACAATTGGTCCCGAAAGTTGTATTTTTCGGACTGTTTTAATTATATTTTATTTTATCGGGTCAGATAAAATATATTATGTGTTATCCATCATTATGACCCTCATAATGAATATTCATTCCCCAACTTTAATTTATAAGTCCCCGAAATTCAATTTCGGGCTTTTATCGGCTAAATTGTCAATACCGGTATTTGGGCCTCTTTTGACCAATCGGTCAACTCTGGACCTTCCCATGGCTCAAATGAGATATCCACCACCATATAAATATTACCTAGACCAAGATGAATAAAATATGTGGTCCCGGAAATATCGGGCGGCCCCCGCTCCCGGTGTGGGCCCCACGTGCGAATTTACTACACACGCAAAAACATTAATAAAAATTCACAACTTCGAATACTCGTTAGCCATTCCATAAGTTTAATACATTATTCACTTAAAAGTAAATACTTTTTGGGGACGGTGTTACATTTACATTTGCGTGAAACATGTAATAGTTGATCGAATTATTTTGTGTAATACCGTAGTTATTATTAAATTGTATTGATATTTTTAGTATTGTGATCACCAATATATTTCCATTGATTCATTTTGTGTCTCAGATTCTTTTTCTTTCTTTATCAATGTGTTTGATTATAAAAACAGATGTTTGATTTTTCTGAGTTGATTGGGTATAAAGAGCAGGTTAAAAGGATTTCTCAAAATTCTGGTGTAGCTTCCATCTTAATCACCAACAAAGCTAAAATAGCCAAACTGAGCATCGGACAATCAGACCTCACAACCCTAGCCGACACAGGTCCATGGCCACCTCTGAAACCATTGACAGCTCCCATCACACCTTGCTCTGCCGCTAAAGGCCAAGTCGCCCGTAATCAAGCGCCCAAGTGAAAATCGCCGCAGCAAAGCTAACCCCTGCCTCAAGATTTCTCCGATCGAGAAATTCCGTGTGATTTCTTTGATTACGAATCACTAATCCCCGCCTCACAAATCAATTTCACCAACAAAACTATAGCAAAGCTTGCCTCGAAACCCATATTTGTGCCGCCGTATGCGACTCACCTAAACCCTGGTCTTCGAAGCTTGTGCGCAGAGTAGCCCTCCTTCACCTAAACGTCCAGTCCAGCCTATATGCCAATAAAAAGACCAAACCGACCTCCTATACTCGCCATTAGTTTTGTCTACCCCTCGCCGACTTAGATAGATCTACTTAGTACGTCCGCCGCCGTTAACACTGCTCAAACTTGCACCTAACCTAGGCTACCATTCACGATTTTTTGGTTTTATACCTGGTCATAATTTGAAAAATAGTTTTTTATTTAACGCAACTTTGAGAAAAAAACTCTTTTTTGAAAGGCTACTGTATTATTTAACAAAATAATTTATAACTTTCATAACTTCCAACATTTAATAACACTTAATGAGGCATATTGATGTACTACGTATGTAGTACTCCCTCCGTAACATTCATATATATCTTCACACTTTCCTTTTTAGCCGTAACATGCATATTTTTTTCCATTTCTAAATCTTCTCATCATACTCTCAATAATTTTGAAAATAATACACTATTACAATTTTTTTTGGATTTAGCTTTCATTCCAGCACACTATTTTATCATCTTCCCATCATACCCTCTGTAATGTATGATCTCTTTTACTATTCTTAATCTCACATATTTTTAAATGAGAAGGTATAAATGTTACGGAAGTAGTATCATTTTATGGAACTTGCACCACATTTTATTATCAAAATTGGACTTTGCACTCTGTTTTTAAAATTCTTTGTATTTGCACCCTAACCTCGTTTGAGAAGACAAAATTCATCTGCATTAGTAATTATGTTGGCCTTCTACATATTCATGATCGAGAGACATTTTTGTCTTCTCATACGCAGTTGGCGTGAAAATATAAAAAATCTTTAAAACAGAATACAAAGTCTAATTTGAACAATAAAATAGGGTGCAAATTCAAATGACATTCTTATACGTAGAGCCCATTTGACAACCTGTTTTTCGGCTTATCAGGCTTATCAGTCAACTTTTTCACCAAATACATAATTTTTTATTTCGCGCGATAAATTGTGTAATAAGCGGAAAAAGTAAGGTCGTAATTACTTTTCTGGCTGTATTGGCTGAAGTTACTGTAGATGACCATTTTAGCTATTTTACATATAATTTTACTTTATTCTATTAATAAAATATATATTTTTTTTTCTTAATAAGCAGAATCAGACAATGCATCCATTTCAGCCATAATTTTATAAATTTCAGTTTCAGCTAAAGTAGCCAATTTTTGTGTTTTGCCAATTTTTGTGTTGCCATATTTTATTACACATTGTTCCGTCTTTGTTGTCTTTCAAGGGAACCAAAAGGCGATTCAAATTTCAAACGGCCGCTGACTTCCTTCTCAGTCTCCACTCGACCCAACCTTCATTCATCCAATCCACAAGAGGTGATTACTCGCAGTCATTCTTTCCGTTTCACCTCAGGTTCGAACGCTTTGAAACCTCAACTCCAAGAATTAACACGTTCAAGTCTTCTGCAATTTCCTATTCTATCCTCCGACGATTCCAGGGTAGAAAAACCAACAGTGTGACCTTTATTTACGATTTATATCTAATTTTGACCTTTCACATTCTCTGGGTTTTTGTTTCTTTAAAACAATCTAATAGTAATAATAATTTTTTGGGTGTTAAGAAGCTTTAATAAGAACAGTCTACTTTCTTGAGTGTGTGGATAACTAACCTGTATCAAGAATTTTTTGTAGTTTAGAGAGTGAGCTAAAAGGTGGGAGAAAATGTGATCTTTTGTTGTTCTGTGCAAGATTAGTGCTTGTTACTGGATTACAGTTTGATGGTGTAACCAATTAGCTAGTTTAATCCAACTTTTGGATAACCAGTTTGATGGCATATAGGTGACCGTGGACCTGTGTCGGCTAGGGTTGTGAGACCTCTCTAATGGCGAGTGCTAGAAAATGTGATCTTTTTGGCCAATTATTTCTCTTTAATTGTTTGAGAATTAGATCATCAATTTTGCAATATCTACCTGAGCTCTTTAACATACTATCTTGGTCAGACACATAGTTTGGAGCTTGCATTCTTTTGTTATGTTACATACTCCTTAGCACATTTTCTGGACAATATTTGTCATGGAATCATACACCACTAACAGGTAAACTTGTCAACTTAATAAAAGCAACTAACTAGTTCAAGCTTAGGGTGCGTTTGGCAAGATGCAAAGTAACCGCTTTGAATCTTATGGAACACTTTTTTTTTGCACAGCCATATAAAACATTTTGCTCGGGAGAATGTGGTAATTCACTTTACATGGTCAATATAGAACAGCACAAATTTTTTGTCCGTAATTTCAAAATGGATTGGACATATAACTAAACATTGTATTCATGTATTACCTGCGCCTACACTTTGCATGCAAAACTTTAATGTGCAAACCACTAAACGCTTGTCCCCTTTGGCCTTATTATTCATATGTTGCTATTTGATTGTTTAATATAAAAGCTCTTGCAATAGGAATGCATGAAACAAATTTAAAATTCCATTCCCACTCTGTCATGGGCTTCTGGCATCTGCTTCCCATGGAGTTCGGGAGAAAGAGTTTCATGAAGAAAAAATAACATTGAGCATTTTCTTGTCCAGGTTAGGTGGCACTGCGTTGAAATTGCAATCCATGGCAAAAGGTAATAAAACTAACAGCTATGAAGAGGCTCGTAAGCAACAACTTTTGGACAACCAGAAACGCTTACAGGTCACTTTTGCTTTCGACATAAATCTCTTCGTATTTTATAAGATAATATTGCTAGTTTTTTCCGGAATGGTGACATTCAGAAGGTGTTGAATGATTTCAACTGTTAGCTATTAATGTTGTTATGAGTGTGATGTGCTGCTTATTGCTAATCGCTCACAAAAAATTGAAAAACCTCTTTGTTGCTTCAAAGGATTTGGGGATTTTGAACATCTCCAAAAGCTTATCTAATCTTGCAAAGTCAGACAAGAAGGTTCGGGCTCAGGTGAATCCATTGTTCTATGTTCAAAACTTCTAACTTTTTTCTTTTGGTAGCAATAAACAGTATTATACTTCATGTTCATAGTCCAAAGTCGAGTCATTGTTGGTTTAAAGTACTCTTTACTTGAACATATCAGCAGAAAGTACGACAAAAATCAAATGCTGCTTACATGTTGGAACCAAGACGCTCTACACGTGCTCGAAATCCCGTTCCATCATACCGTGAAAATGTAAGTTATCCTTTAAAAAGATTAATAATAATGTATGTAGTACATTTATTGATAAAAATCAAGATTAGATTAAATTCATTCCATTGGGTTACAAGATCACTCAAAAAGAATGATATCTAATAAATTGTTAGTTTAAGCCAAGTTCTTCTTTTTAACCATCATTCTCTCTTTACATATATCATGTGCATGTATTTGATTAGCAGTAGAAAAAATGTGTCTAATTCTTCTTCTTATACTTTCAGCTCGACGTATTAGAACTTCCATCTCTGCGGAAGAGGTCTAGGTTTAGCTCTTCATGGGCAAGGTAGCATCTATTCTCAAGCCTCTCACTGTAATCATAATTTCTCTTAATCATGCTATATTTTAGTCACAATTCTTTAATTATTGTATGTCTAGCTATCTGGCAAGACCAATAGAAGAAGTCAGAGTGGCATCATATGAAGAAAGATCCCAAGCTTTTAAGGCTGCAGAGAAACTCCAAAGCAATCTGCAGTCTGGAAATCCATCCTTTGTCAAATCAATGGTTCGCTCTCATGTCTATAGCTGTTTCTGGTTGGTAAGTTACCACTACTCTCTTACTAGTGAATGAAAATGAAACTAGAGAAACAAATGTGACCTGGAAAAGGGCCTGAGATTTTTATTTTATTTGTTTAGTTCGGATATATTTGGATAAAAAAAGATGGCAGGATATGGATTTTCTTATAAGAAAATTGATTTGTTTATGTTTGGCCTTATGTATAATGTAAGTAAGAAGTAAATCCAATTTGCTTTTCAACTCACACTTAATGTTTTTTTCTCAGAAATGTCTAAATAAAAATGTGAATAAACTTTCAAATGATTTGATGAGTTAGAAACTTAGAACCAATTCTTTAACTTTATCCTGCATCTTCTTTCATTTCAAATAATCGACTATATTGTACTTAAACTTTCTTCCCATAGCTCTTCCGATATCCAGACGGGTCCTCAATATGTTAAGATTGCAGGGTCTTCCTACCAGATTCTGTGAGGATCATCTACCCAAGTCAACAACGGACATGGTGCTGGAGGATGAGGAAGGAGCTGAATTTGATGCTGTATTCATCAGCAAGAGAACTGGGCTTAGTGGGGGATGGAGAGCATTTGCACTGGAACATAAGCTTGATGATGGTGATGCTTTAGTTTTCGACTTGGTTGAACCTACAAAATTCAAGGTGCTTCCTTGTTTCACTTCTCATCATCATCATTATCATTACCCCAGTATTGCAAAGGCTCCCACCTACAGTGGAGTGAGGGGGGTCGGATGTACGCATTCTTACCCCTGTACTAAAGCACAGAGAGACTGTTTTAGGATGACCCATTGTGAAAATTGCGTCGAAAATTGCATGAACTGACTGCTGCTTCATAACAAAGAAGCGCAGACAGTTTAGTGAGCCATTTTGTTTTATTCCATCATATTTTTTAGCCAAAAAATAGTGAGTTTTTGGCTCCAATGCAAATGATGGATCATTCTAAGGACTCATACATGTGAATCATTTCCTAAAATGTGAATCATTCTAAGGACTCATACATGGCTTCCCAGGGAATCTGATTGCTTAGGTAACGCTGTCATCATGGTAGGGTCTGACTACTTTTTAATGAATACTGGCTGATAAGTTGTATGGAACTATGTCTGGATACAAAGAGTGGTCGGGTACACTTAATTTTCAACACAAAACCTTGGGGATCAGGGTTTTACCAAACACTAACTTATTCCATTAAAAACAAGTAATGCACTAGTCACTTTTTTGCTTGAATTTTATAATTCTACTCGTATTCTGTGATAATCCATATTGTTTCTTGACTTCTTTTAATTTATCTAAATATATACTTTTAAATCGTTGTACTTGGGTTTTTTCCATGTTTAATCCTGGTACTGACACTTGATACCTGTTTTGATTTTTTTTCCCTGTTTTTAACCTTTTAGTATTTATCTTTGAAATTTTCTCCTTTCAGTCCCCTCATAAATCATAACTATGAGAGTGATACTATTGATATCCGAACTATCTAGTGACCCTTTTGGTCCTTCACCTAGTTTGCCTAAATTCAAAGGCGATTACTAAAAGTGGTTCTTTCACAATTTTCAGATGACCAAAAGTGAAGAAAAGAAATGTAACAAAAGGGTCATTAACACAATTAGTAAAGGACTAAAAATAAAAATAAAAACTTCAAAACATTTAGATAATTTAGTAGATTAGCTAATATAGCCACAACTTGCAAATGCAGCCACATGTACAACTTTAAACTTCTGAATTCAGTAATGTGGATATAGGTTGAGGGGTTAACAATGTGTAATAAGCTTGGTCGATTGCTCAACAGGTGTATATTGTTAAAGCATCCCACTCTTCTAGTCAGGTCAATGAGATTGAAGAAGAAGGAGAAGAAGAAGAAAAAGCAGGAGAAAGTGATGAAGAAGAAGAAACCAAACATAAGCCTGCCAAATTGGGAAAGAAAAGAGGCCGTCCATCAAAATAGTCATATTGTGGAGTAAAGTAGGTTGAATCGTGGACCTCTGTCATGTTGAAGCCATTGTAGCTTTAATTATATCTATTAGCTGTAAATAAGGTTAATCTTAATGCTCCCCTCAACTTTTGTAACACCTGGTGCGGATAGATCCTTTTGCACTGACAAGTGTAATTGTAATGTGTGGGGGGACTGAACCAGACTAGGACCATTTGGTTTTGAACTAACAGACAACCCTTTTGGGATGAATTAAATTAATGGTAATTTGTTATTGCCTTATCGGGTTTTCGGGTGATAATCACTTGATGGTTTGCACATCTTGTTTGGGGTCAATTTAGGTCCATTTGTCCAACCTTATTCGGATTGCCCACATTGATTGTCTAGCGCGGATATAAGTTTAATATATAATCCTCAAGGTAAAAACCACCTTCTCTTCGTTTTAGTATATCAGAGATTAGACCCATTTGTGCGACATGGGTAAGAATGCGTACATCCGACCCCCCCTATCCCACTGTAGGTGGGAGCCTTTGCGGCACTGAGGTAAATAAATGAAAATGAAATGAAATAGATATTTTTGCAATACCAGAAGCTCATTAAACTGTAATTTGAACATATGGTTTCCTTTAGACCAAGAGCTCTACATACACAACTTTATGTATTCTTTAGTTTCCTTTCTCCCTAGTATCCCCAACTAAACTGAACCAAACAGGCAAACACGCCTACTAAGTCCCAATCGTATAGTAAGCTTCAATCAATACCCCAACAAGAAAAAGGCGCATTTTATTGTCATTGATACACTTCACATATGCTATAAAATCTGAATATATACAAAGGGCTACTCTTAAGTAGGTGCTTGTATGATGCATCTCTATATGCGGTTGCAACACCTAAACTAGATGACCTAGGCCGATAGGCTGACGAGCAGCAAGCGGCCCGTGGCATCCAAGTAGCAGCAGAGAGGTTACATATTCTTGTGTTAATCAATGTGGAGTATATATTATAGCTAGCCACAAACAACCAAAATCTAATATTTTTTTGTAATTATTTCACTAATAGAGAATTGTATATATTAAGGGTCAAAGTTGTGCATCGGCAAACGTGAAGTACTCCATATATAAAAGTATTAGTTTGATAATTATTGTAATAATTCATATTAAAATAGTAATGGTTTGTTCGGATGAGGTTAATCTAAGTTGAAATCTTGAAATAATTATAAATAGATATTCACATATGGAAATCTCCCATTCAAATTTCCTCTAAATTGAGTGTAGTGAGTTCGTATGATCGACTTTTAGGGTTGGGACAAATTTTGTGTTTATCCTTAAGAACCAGTCTGGTTGGGGGGTTTTATAGGAAAGTGAAGGGAAAGAGTCATATTTAAATTTAAAATATTTTTTATTAAGAAAAATTGAAATAAAGTGAGCACAAAATAGTATGTAAAAATACGTGGTTAAAATAATTAGAGTCATTGTAGTTTAAAACCAACAAATGCAGATAAATTAATAAAGTAAAAAAAATCAATCCTCCCCTTCCCTCTTCTCTTAAATTCCCCAACCAAACGGGTCCTAAGGATTTGGCTCACGAGTCATCATACTCAACTACCCAAGTCAGATCAATACATTATTGATTGACCAAACTCGCTAACCACTAGTACGACTCCAACATCAACTCGAATGTTATAATTAGAGTTGAACCATAATTAGAGTTGAATCAGCCGTATTGATGATGATTCTGAATTTATGGAAATCTAACAAGTATAGCAAATCACTGATACTATGCAAGAGTTATTGTGCAGTTTCGATTCCTTTTTAAATCCGGTTCTAATTTTATAAAACTATGAACAAGAAACTCCTTAATGGAGAATGGGATGGATGGTATTTAAGTTAAGGAAGATTAGAGTTATGTTGTACAACACTCTCCTAATCTTATAAGCTCTAGAGATAGGCTGCTCCTGTGCATTGTAATAAACACACTTAAGCAACTTTACAGAAGAATACACTAATTTTAAGCTCTTTCTCTTAAACAGTTTTCACTTCTCTCTTATTTTAGTTTTCTTTCTTGGAAGTTGAGTGGCTAATATCACTCGTGGTTTGAGAGCAGTGGCGGATCTTGCAACCGGAAAATGGGTGTTCAAAAAAATTCATGATTAAAATATTGTGTAACAATGTTTTTTGATCTCACAATTGAAGAAATGTAATTTTTTCAACAACAAAAAACTAGCAAAAGGGGTTAAGGGTAACAAACATTGTATAAAAATACACTATATAAATTATTATATCAATTCTATACATGTATTTTTACATTTTATTTTCAAAATTTTGAGTGTTTGCCTAAACACCCTTGAACAAAGCACGTCCGCCACTATTTGAAAGTGTCTTCTTTTGGACCAACAAGGTTATCATAAGTTTGAAATAAATTTGGGAGTGGCTAATCTGTTCAAGTAAAATAGATTTTTTAAAAATCTGCTTTATTTTTTATAGAATAGAAAACTATTACGGGATATATTTGACAGCCATTTTATTTATGTTAAGAGATTATTCTATCATTATTGTAATTGTGTTATATTAGGATTTTTCCACTTATTTTCCCTTCTCCTAGTATAAAAGAATGTACGTAGCTTTGCATAAGAAGATACACAAGAATAATTTATTTGCCTTCTTCTCTTTTCACACATCACATATGCGTAAAGTACAACATGGTATCAGAGCTTTGAAGACATAAAACCCAGAACATGCTGACTGGAGACGGAGGAGGGACGTCACAGTAAACACCGGATTGGTGGGGCGACAGACCCAAGGCAGGACCTAAAGGTGGCGGATGTGAACAGACCAATGTTTCTGGAGCAACTCAGGCAAAATCTTCAGCTACAGCACATGCAACCACTATGGCAGAAAACTCAAGCAAACTGCCAGGGAATGATGGAAGTAGAGAACCAAGTAACGGACAGCCCCTTCCTTTACCAGGTTTTTCGGCAGACCAACGAAAATCACTTATTTCAGCCTTCGGTAACTCAACTGATTCTAATGATCGAATGGCTGGTAAGTTTGATAATCTGGAATGGATAATTGATACAGGTGCTACTAATCATGTCTGCGAAAATCTAAAATTTTTATGTCAGATTAATTCTATAAAACCTTGTTCTGTGGGTCTGCCTGACGGACAGACAATCATGGCCACGAAGGAAGGCTGTGCGGTGATTTCAGATAGTATTGTACTGGAAAATGTGCTCTATGTTTCGGGCTTGAGTTGTAATCTTATCTCTGTGTCACAATTGAGTGACCGACTTAATTGTTTTCTCCAGTTCACTTATAACTTGTGTGTTATACAGGACCGTGTCTCGAAAAAGCTGATTGGAACGGGTGAGAGGCGAAATGGACTGTATTATCTCAAGAGGAATAATTCTGCCCAGATCCTAACAGTGAGTGGGACGAAAATTTCTGCTGTGGAGTTATGGCATAAGCATTTGGGACATCCGTCATCGCAAGTAATTGAAAAAATTGCTTCTGCATGTAATTTGAAGAATTTTGATATGTTGCCTTGTGATACTTGTTTTCGAGCTAAACAAACAAGGGATTCTTTCCCTCTTAGTTCTTCTAAGACTCGTGATATTTTTGAATTAATACATTGTGATTTATGGGGTCCATATCAAACTCCTTCCTCTTGTGGTGCAAAACAGTTTTTTGACTATCGTGGATGATTATTCTCGTGCTGTGTGGGTTTATCTACTGCTAGATAAAAAGGAAGTTTTTAAAATATTTTTATCATTTGTTGCGATGGTGGAAAGACAATTTTCTAAGAAAATTATTGTCGTAAGAAGTGATAATGGCACTAAGTTTAATTGTCTGAAGGGTTTCTTTCGTGATAGTGGTATCTTATTTCAAACTTCCTGTGTCGGTACGCCACAACAAAACGGGAAAGTTGAGCGCAAACACAGGCATATTTTAAATGTGGCCCGAGCTTTGAGATTTCAAGCCCATTTGCCTATAACCTTTTGGGGAGAATGTGTGCTAACTGCGGCACATTTAATTAATCGCACCCCGTCTGCGCTTCTTGATTACAAAACCCCATTTGAAATATTATTTGGTGTCCCGCCAAGTTATCAATCTTTGCGTGTCTTTGGATGTTTATGTTATGCCTTTAATATGAAGTCCAAGAATGATAAATTTGCTAGCAGAAGTCGCAAATGTGTGTTTGTTGGTTACCCATTTGGTAAGAAGGGCTGGATGGTGTATGACCTTGAAAAGTCAGAGTATTTTGCATCGCCCGACGTCAAATTTCTGGAAGACATTTTCCCTTTTGCTCTCCCACCGGAAGAACCTTCGGATTCACCCAATACACCTCCAGTGATGGTTGATTACTCAAATGAGTATTTTCGTATACTCCATGATACGGGTAATGAAAATGGGAGCACTAACTTTGAATCATATAAATTTAGTCTATTTTTTCAAAATTTACCTAATTTACCTGGTAAAATATAGCATCTTAATAAGTCTGGTCTAAATCTTTAAGTTTAGCTTTGATTTGATATTTCTTGATGTAGTATAATTATTTTTAAGATGGTATAATCAAATATACTAGCATATACTTCCTCCGTTCTTAAATAAATGCTTTGGTCAACATTTCACATTTTCTGTGACATAACTTTGACCATTAATATATATTCCGTACATAGTACTACCTCCGTCCCTTTTTAGTTTGCTAACTTTGACTTTTCCAGTCAAAGATGATAAACTTGGATCTATTATTTTAACTAATATATGAACGTAAAAGTTAATAAATTTATACTTTCATGATAGTATTTTCAACAAATTAAAGAACATTTTCATATAATTTTCTTATTATCAATATTACCGTGTATAAATATATAATCGGTCAAAGTTGAACAACTTTGACTTGAAAATTTGTGTTTGGCAAACTAAAAAGGGATGGAGGGAGTATAATTTTGTATTAGTAAAAAAATTAAAAAAAAATAGATTTTGAAAATTTACAATGAGACAAATTTAACAATACTTTTTCATAAAAAAATATTAATGTTTTTGCAAAAAATATTAATGCATTAATAAAAATGTAGTCAAAGTATAACATGTGAATATTGAAAAATTCAACATGTTGAATTCATTTAAGAATATATTTCTGTTTGAATTAAAATAAGAATAAATCTTAGCAAAAAAAGTTAATAATAACACCTTATACCTCTTGCATACTTTTTTGGGTGCATTACTGAAGCATACTTACAGTCCATGAGAACAATCCAAGCAACTTATAAATGAACAAAGAGACTCCAAACACACATTTACGGTAGAGGATCAAGGGTGCGGTAAGTGCATCTATCTGCTCAGAGGCGGCTTGGGCATTTTGGAGGCCCTAGACGAAAAATATTTACTATGTACGTACAAATCATATTGAAAATCAGATAAATTGAATAAAAATCGCCTTATGAATAAAAACATATTCAAAGTGCACGATATATTGTTTGTAATATTTAAAAGGATAAACTTTTAAATGCAAACATAGGTAAAACACAAGGCAAAGTTGTACTTGTAACACCCTATTGACCTATTATTCATACCTTTTAAAGTGCAAAATTAGTAATACTTCATTTCAATCAAAACTAGCTAGCTAAAACTTTTTCTTCAATCAATAACATAGCTAAACCACTTAATATATCTTCTGAAATGGTTGACCATATAATCAAATCTCTATCTTCTCAACTTTTTTTTCTTTGTAAACCCCGAATCAAATTTTCATTTGTCCGTCGAGACAAATTTACAGTACCTACATATTTATAGTTAATACAAAAATTTTACGTAATACGGAGTATTTAACATCTAGAAATTCGGGAATTTATGTCAAAATATCAATTATATCAATTATGTGCAAAATTGCATTCACTATTGGACAATTTTAGTGCTTGTGTGCGCTCTGTGTCTCTTACTTTACTTTACAGTTTTGGATTTTTTTTTTTGAAATTGAAATTATATTCACTCAATCCACAAGGTGTGTACAGAACATGAAATGGGAATATGAAACCCAATTAAGAATGGTGAGTAGCTGATTGGAAAAACTAAATCACTACAGATGGGCCGTTTGTGGGTCCTTGTATTTCATTATTTTATTGACTAAAAGCCTAAATTTGAGAAAGAGAAATAAAATAGATACACTAAATCTGTATATGAATTATGAACTTACGGAGTACTAAGAAAATAGATGCTGTTTGCAGTTGCCGCTCAACGTAGGAGGCATGGACCTAGTCTGCGAATAAGTGAATAACACCTAATACTAATAAGGGAGTTGAATTTTTTGGAGGCCCTCTTGGCAGTTGAGGCCCAAGGCAGTTGCCTGGCCCAACTGCCCCTATAGCCGCCCCTGTATCTGCTTCTAGTCCATGAAACAATACTAGACTTAGATGAATGTTAATACCTAGATATTCTAGAAGTTGTCATAAGGACAAATTGTTGCATTTAAGGAAACCCAAACGAGTACCACTTTGATCTCAAACTAGAATATCACTCATGCGATGCACGGTAGGATATCTTACAAAAGTTAATGATTATTAATGATTAATTAAAGTTAATGACATACTATTAATTAATGATATAATATAACTATATATCAATAAGTAGCAACTATTAAATGAAATATAATGTCTCAGTAGGGCAAAAGAGTGCCAATGTAAAATAAATTCATTAGAATAAGAACAACATTCAAATTTCGAGAACCTAACTACACACAATAAATATATCCTCAGCTCTCACGTGAACTTTCATCATTATTTGAAATTAAAATTTTCGACAAATGTAAATAATGATGTTAAACAAAGAAACATAAATTTTGTTTTAGATTTAATGAAATAAAATCACATGCATAGAAAGAGTTTTTGTTTAATATTTATCATTTGTGGTACTTGTCAATGAGAGAAATTATAAACACGCAAAATGACTTTCTACATGAAGTACTTAAATTAGACATTTTATTCAATTCATTGATTTTATGTATTATAATTGTCATTCTTTCAAAATATAATCAAATGTACTTTAAAAGTACATTTGATCAAGTTTAAAAAAGTAGTCTCTTCATATTTTAGTATCTGCTTATATATTCTGGACTCAAATATCCGCTTGTATCCGAAATCAAACTAATGCAAGTGTATGATCAGTATTGGTTCCGATTTGATTTACTTTAAGGTATGAATATTAACATATAATTGTGCTTGTATAGACATTTAATTGAAATTAAATCTAATGTCAAATTTCAATATGTGTTTTACATTGATATATTTTAAATAGAAATATATTTAAAAATAATACTTTTTTAATTATGGTCCAACCGGATTTAGCTTAAATATTTCAGATTCAATTATGATTGGAACCAGAAACTTCAAAAGTAGGCATGGCCTCGGTTCGGGCCGCCCGGCCCGGGACCGGCCCGACCCGCTACTGTGCGGGCCCGGCCCGGTTTTCCGGGTCTGGGTCCGGTTCGGGCCGGAGGCCCGGGGGTGGGGCGGTTCCGGGCTCGGTTCATGGGTTTGACGGCCCGGCCCGGCCGGTTCGGGCCCGGGTCCGGGCCAAATCTATTATTTTTTTAAATTTTTTCATTTTTTTTTGGGCTGTTGGGCTTGGGCTATCTGTTTAGGCCGGTTTGGGGGGGTTTGGGGGGGGTGGGGGGTGGGGGGGGGGGAGAAAGGAAAAAAAAAATTAAACCGGGTGGCCCGACCGGCCCGGTCCGGCCCGGAACCGGACCCGGGACCGCCCTACCCCGGTTCGGGCTCGGGCCTGCTATTACTGAACCGAGGCCTGGCCGGGCCTAGGCCCGAGGCCCGAACCGGCCCGGTTCAGTCCACCACTATTCAAAAGTTTTGGATCAAGGGATCATCAAGTATTGATCCGATACGTGACACTTTAGTCAATACCGAATCAACTGTTGTAGATCTATTCATTTTTACGATCTTGACGAAAGTAAAAGTGCTTGACTGTTTGGCCCAAAGCGTGCACCATTAGACTACATCGGTGTTTACGTATAAACTTATATTGAGTGTTACGAAGATATTTGAAATTTGTTAATTTCATGGGTTTTCATTTTGACTTATAGAAAGCATCTCTCTTTTGTCTCTCCTGACCCAAAAAAAGAACAATAGAATAACTTCCTTTAGCACTCCAACAGACTCAGGGATTAAAAAAAAAGGTCATCGCCTGCCTTTCGCTACTACTCACCCGTCCGCCACTAGGAACACCACTCCCCGTACAACTTGCATGTGTTAAGCATGCCGCCAGCGTTCATCCTGAGCCAGGATCAAACTCTCCGGCGAAAACGGAGAGGAGGGCGGTCAAGGTAGAATAGTGGGTGGGTAGGTCTAGGTATGAAGAGAAGCGGTGACTTTTTTAGGTTACCAATG